ATCTGTTCTCTATTGCCAGAAGCAGATTGTTCTTCAAGAATTATCCCCACAAAGATTTCGTGAACCCAGGCAAATAATAGGGTCGAAATACTTTGTTCGAAAAGTGTACGAACACGATTCCTCGAAGTTATCCAAGATTATCATACTCAAATTTCTAACACTCACTAAAACCTTTTCTTATCAAATTATCCTTATTTGCTAATTTGTTCCAAAGCAATTTCCACCCAAACAACAAGAATTTCTCCGGGATTTTTAATTTCTAATTCCAACCAAAAGCATTAAAGTGGTCAATAGAAACAAAACCTCATCAAAGATTGATACCAAGACTTGACAGAAAAACTTTCAGTTACATTGAGATTCCAAACAACCTCATCCAATTTTCCTTTTATAGGATTAAAACTTAACAGCAGAGTTTTTAATTCACTCAACCTTTCTGCAGCAACTTGATCATTCTGAGATTCTAATCTGAAATTGCCCCAACTCCACCTATCCGTCGCATCTTTGGATTTACTGAGCACAAAAACATCACAGAACTGCACGACCAGTGGCTGATTAGCAGCCCACGTAGCTGACCAAAAAGGGACGGTTTCACCGGCATCTAACTTGAAGCTCACAACCTCTGCAAAATGACATACAAATTTTGCCGACAAAGAACCACTTCCACCAGATGGAGGAAGATTTAACTTGGTTATTCTCCTCCAACAGAATTGAATTAGCTATGCTTCCGTATCGAGATTTTATGACAGATTTCCAAAAATGACGAGAACCGTCAAGTAACCTCCATTTCCACTTGAAAAGCAAGACACGATTGAACTGATTCAAACTTTTCACTTCAAGGCCACCATTCACTTTAGGCATGCAAACCATATCCCACTTTATCCAATTTATCTTCGAGTTCACTTTAGGCATGCAAACCAAATGTTTCAATATTGAAATAGAAACCAGTAAACTCTCCTAAAGCATAAGCCCTTCTGATTAGGCCTGCCAATCCTTCAGTCACTAAGACAAAAAGATAAGGGAAGAAAGGGGCTCGATGGGAAAATCTTTCGTTGGACTACCTTTCACAAGAATAGAGATATGGCTATTGAAAATCTTTTTGGGAGAGTCATTTGCCATGAAAGACATGTGAGCAGCTAAACAGATCCTTGGCATTAGAATCATGTGTGACAGAAAAGGCAAGAAACTTTGGATATCACAAGAAAATTATATCGAAAGAGTGCTGCAAAGATTCAAAATGAAAAGTTCTAAGGCAGTAAGCACTCCTGTCGCTACTCATTTCAAGTGGACTTCTAATCAAAGTCCTTCAAGTGAAGATGAAGTGTTTGATATGAAACGTGTTCCTTATGCGTCTGTTGTGGGTAGTTTGATGTATGTAATGGTGTGTTCAAGACCAGATATATCACATGTTCTTGGTACAGTCAATAGATTTTTGTCAAATCCAGGTACAAAGCATTGGGATGCTGTAAAATGGATTTTAAAGTATCTTTGTGGTACTTCTTCTATGATGCTGTAAAATGGGTAGTTTGATGTATGCATTGATTAAAATTTTACCTGATCTAATAATATGTTTATGTAATTATCTTGTATATATAAGTATTTAATAGTCTAACACTTTTTCGACCACTTGCAGTTTAGGGTGCATGCAATGATGCATTATATTTGCATTATATCTTGAAATGGGTGAATTCTAAAACCTCACAAGCACATTATCCTATGGTTGATAACCAAGCTAGATTGAGGCACAATCGATTTGCACAATATGCATCGGTTTGGAGGGAAAAAGCCTGAGCATCGCAAACATCAGTCGGTTCTAGTTCGGTTGATGTAAAGACGTCAACTTCTAGGACTCATGCATCTTCTCCCTCGTCTTCCCGGAAGAGGCAGATGTCACCACCTAATGCCCAAGAAGCTCCGCTCCATTCACACATCTTCAGGAAATGTAGGGTTTTGGAGGAGGGTCGTCTAACTTATCATTTCTGCCTCTATATTTGGACCATGGTGCCAGACATGTATAAGATGGATAGGTAAAATTCAATTGTATTAACTATTTGAAAACATTTGTTATAATATTCGAAGTTTATAATGATGATTTATTTTTTTGCAGGACTGTGATGCTTTAAAATGTATTCATGGTCAGAAGATTGTGGGTCTGCGACAACTTCAAGATTGGTGGTTTTAGAATGTGCTGTAACTATCTGGGTTGTGAGACCTATGCAAGACCGAGTATATTACAATTAACCATGGTATGCTCTCCATGTTCGTTGAGAGATGATATTCTTAGACGTCATCTTTTCATCTTCCATATGGTGAGATGTCTATCACACTAGATGATGTCTCATGTATGTTGCACCTTCCAATCAGGGAAAGATTGCTAGATATTGATATGATTATCAAATATGAGGTTCTGAAGATGATGGTAACATATTTGAGAGCTGACCCAAGGCTTGCCCTGAAGGGTATGGAAGACACTCGAGGGTGTCATGCCAGTTTTCAATTCTTGGAAAGGTTGTATGCACAGTAGCTGATAGCGGTAAAGCAGTCCATTGGTGATGATGAGAAGGATATGTAGCATATAACATATGCATTGAGAGCATACCTACTGTACTTGGCTGACCCATCCATTTTTGTGGACAAGAGTGCAACTTATGTGGATGTTTATTACTTGAGATACTTCGCTGACTTGGGGTGAATTCGTAAATACAACTTGGGAACCGCTTGTTTGGTCTACTTGTACTCCAAGTTAGATGAAGGTTGTATTTGGAAGACCAAACATATGAAAACTGGTTGCACGTTGTTGACAATAATATATTTGCATCTTTTAGTGTTTGTATATCATTTTCATAACACTTGTGTTACATCATTACTAATAAATCATATGTACATTTTTAGGCTTGGATCCTCCAACACTTCTCAAGCATAATTGGGTTTTCATATGTTCTGACCTACACTGAAGATATGTCATATGATTCTGCATTCGCCACGCTTATAGGGAATCAGGAAATGGAGTCCTTCAGAGTGTATCTTGATCACTTGGTAGCAGAAGATATACACTTCTAGTCATACACTGATCACCGTCAAATGTGTCCCTTGGACGGCATAGCCTTTTACTCTTGATGGTTGATTTGTGGGTCAGGTTTGATGTTTCCACATCTGCTTGAGTGCGTCATGCGCCTGTTCAGTTACATACAGCTTATTCCCAGAGACCCCTCTAAGCCTGTTCAGTTACATACAACTACATCCTTATATGACACCGAATGTTCAAGAAGATCCACCAAAGTGTATGGTTTAATATATATGGCATTTTCATGTTATTTTACAAGTGTATGGTTTAATATATATATGACATTTTCATATTATTTTACAAGTGTATGGTTTAATATATATGGCATTTTCATATTATTTTACAAGTGTATGGTTTAATATATAAAATATTTATTATGATAGTATAACTATAATTCATCGTCAGTTATATTAGTATATCTCTTAAGCAAAGTCAAAATTTATTGTCTGGTGTGAGTACGAAAAATGTATTTTCGTATTATGTCTAGGGTGAATACGAAGATGCATCTCCGGAACAATTTATCTCAAAATGCGTATAGGATGAATTCAGAAGTGCATCTCTAAACTAAATTTTAAGAAAAAAGAGGATGAATCCCACTTAAAACGTGTTTTGGTGTGAAAATAGTGCGTCTAGAAATACATTTCCGAATTAAGAGATATTTTAAAATTTTCTTAGAGTGCTTCTCTATCACTTTGGGTAAAATAAATAATTTTATAATTTTTTAGGAACTAAAAAGTAGCGTTTATTAAATAAGGGATTAAAATAAAACTTTAAATCAAGTTAAAGAAAAAAAATACATTATACCAAAAAGTAAAACAAATACCTAAGCTTAAATTATGCACTAGATTTTATTTTTAATAAAGTCTGATTATATTAAAACAAAAAGAGATACAACCAATAAATTATAAAAGAAGAACAATAAAACCTTTTCAAAAAAGAGAAAGTCTAAAGAAATGTATGCCTAACTTATTCTTTACAAAATCTCCTATAATTCCAATCGAAATAAAGTAAAATATAATGGAGGAATTTGAGGTGATACTTATATTAGAAAAATAATCAACAACAAAGTTTTCTCTCCTAAATATGTGCGTGAAAATTAGATTAGTAAAATTAGTTTGACTGGTGCTCTCAATCCATCTGTTACGAAGACCAATAAGAATTAGTTTATGGTTGAACAAACTTTGACCACCAACAAACAATTCGTTTCGATCCAAAGTTTTTGTCAACCACGAGACTTGACAATTTCAAAAGCGTGCAAAACAACATGGAACTTCGCTATTATCAAAGAACCTCTATAAATTTTCTCCGTAAAAGCAAGCATAAAATTATGTTAGGAGTACGTGGAACTTCACTACCATTGGAATTCAAATCAAAAGTACCATCACAATTAGCTTTAACGCACCCCAAAGTTGGGAGACTCCACAAAACTTCAATTATGTTAGGAGTACGTGGAGGACGAATAATAACACCAAAATTTTTGATTAAGGCGAAGTCCGCAATCGAAACAGAAGAGCAATTAGAAGCATAATTACCTGACATTAGCGTTTCATTCAGAATAATTTTGATAGCATTTCTTTTGTTCGGACGTATGTTCTCATGTTTGAATTTATTCTTCGTAACCCAAATTTGATTGATCGCATGAAAATAAAAGTCGCTTTCACCACAAGGACTGCTTGGTTGGAAATTTGATTAATAAAATTAAAAAAAAAGCATAAGTAATGCATAATTTCTTGTTTAAAAGTAATGATATAATAAAGTAATCCTTAGGTGACGTGATGACAATGCCTATCATTAATTAAAAATTGTCCTTTCCTAATAATTAGTAGTTAACTATTCTATTGAGAAACCACATAGTGTTGTTTATTTCATCTATTTCTAAACTTCTAAAGTTTCCTTTTTCTAACATCTTTTCCAAATCATTCAAGTCACTAAAGATAGGATGATGCAGAGTTTCAAGAAATTCACACCACTTTTTATAGTAATCTTGATAGCACTTCCTTTTCTTCTCATGAACTCAAAATCAAACTTCTCTCTCTTTGACGACTTTACAAAAGACAAGATGCTACACCTTCTTGGAGAAAATAAGAATGGAGGAAGACTTCATAATATATCAGATGACCACATCAATGTCCAAAATAACACCGACTCAAAGGTAACTAATTATTTCTTAGTATTTTAAATTTACAATATAAACTATACATTTGTTTAACTGATTCAACCAAGAATTAAAACACCATAGTTTTATTAAACCGGATTGAATCTTAATTAATTATAGTAATAATTATGTATTTATTTATTTAACCTCTAAGAAAAATTTAATATATATACACTGGCAATTAATATTTATAAAATTTAATTTTTATTTTAGCCACTTAAAAAAATAATATAAACTTGCATTAATTAATATTTGTAATAATTCATCTCACTGTACATGTCATAAGCTGGCATTGCTGTATTATTGGTTACTCAATTACATGACAATCACTTTTTTTTTATTCAATCAAGATTATCAAGATATTTTTTAGTGAGAAATAATTTGAAAATAGTATTCAACAATCTCATTCAAATCTTGACTTTTGTTACACTGTAATGTATTCAACATTATCTTTTAAATCTTGAATTTTGTGATAGATTGCTTTTAAATCTTCTATTATATTGCATGTGTAATGTAGTATATTGTTTTATTAACAGAATAAAATATTATGTGTATAGAGATCCGTTGAAAATATTATTCATAATTAGTTCAATTTTTTATTCATATAAATATTATGTCACCCATTTTCATAAATTCAACTGCAATGGAGGCCATAACAATGAATTCAACCATCTCATTTAAATCTTAACTTTTGTTGCATTGTAGCATTCACCCATCCCATTTAAATCTTGACTTTTGTTACATTGTAGCATTCAACAATCCCATTCTTGAATTTTGTGATGGATTGCTCTTTTTCGTTCAATATTTCTTTCTACATAATTCAAGTGGTAGTCAAGTCTAAATTAATTAGGGTGAGAGTTGGTTATATTTATTATTTAATAGTTAAGTCACGTAATTGTATATAATAAATAAATATTTTGTAATTCAGTTTTATAATATAATTGCATTTTAATAATATTAATTTTTATTTTTATTCTCTCTCCTTCTTTTTTTTTTACTAAAAGTGTTTCACACACTAATAAATTGATATTTAGAGTTCTAGTTAGTTTTTTTATCGTGTTTTCAAGAATCATATATCGGTGATCGTGTTTTTGAATTCGTGGGTTTTTAATCGCGTTTGCTGCAAAGATGAATGATAACAATGACATTTCGAATTCTCTTCTAATTTTTGACGATAAGAATTGAATCTGATGGAGAAAACGTATAAATCTTTTGTTTGGCTTTCATGAAACCTATAAGTGGTTACTAATGGCATCCTTGAGCTCGCTGAGAATGAAACTGATGCTCAGAGAGTCGCGAACAAGGAGACCAAGAAGAAATATTGCAAGGTTGTGTTTTATATTCAATCAGTGGTAGACGCGACAAACTTTGATCGAATTTCTCATGCTAAATCGACGAAGAAGACATGAGATATTCTTGTCAAGTATTACGAAGGAGGTGAGAAGGTTAAAGTCTTCAAATTGCAGACGTTGCGAAGGCAGTATGAATTACTGCATATGAGAGAAGAAGAAAAGATTGCAGGTTATGTGTTGAAGGTGCAGAAGCTTGTTCATCTCATGAAAGGTCGTGGCGAAACCCTAACTGATAAGATGATACTTGAAAAGATAATGCGTACATTGACTTCTCACTTTTATCACGTTGTCGTTGTTATTCAAGAATCCAACAATCTTGAAACATCAAATTGAAAGATTTGGTTGGTTCGTTGGAGGCACATGAGACAAGGATTGTCGAAAGGAAAGGTGTTCAAGATTCGATACAAGCTCTACAGGCTCAGACATGGAAGAAACATAGTGGTTCAAACAAGTTCAAGGGCGAAAGAGACAGGAACTCAAAGCAAGAAGTCTTGGTCGAAGATGAAAAGTATAAGGTCGATGATAGAGCTTTTGAATCCTCGAAAAAAAAAGGAAAAGGGAACTCCTATAAAAAAGACTAAGAAGATAAAAAAACGTGTGTAGTGCTATAACTGTGAAAAATGGGGTCACTTGGCCAAGAATTGCTGGTACAAGAAAGACAAGAATGAAGGAGCAAGCTTCACACACCGAGATTCAGATGATTCGAAAGACATGGTGGTTATGGATGCATTTGTAGATGAGCATGTCGACACCAAGATATAGTTTCTAGACACAGGTTGTTTGAATTACATGACTGGCCGAAAAGTGTGGTTAGTAGATTTTGACGAGTCGAAAAAAAGCAAGGTCGAATTTGCTGATAATAGCTTGTTGCAAGCAGAAGGTACTGACAACATAGTTATTTAAAGAAGCAATTGAGCAAAAGTTATGATCAAAGATGTACTATATGTACCTGGAATGAAGTGCAATATGCTAAGTGTTGAACAACTGATCGATAAAAGTTTCTCAGTGGTTATGAAAGATGAAGCCTTGGAACTATTTGACACTCAGAATAATCTGGTCTCAAAATCTCCTCTGTCGAAGTATATGACATTTAGACCATGATCAATTTGATTGAGGTGCATTGCCTAAAAACAATTGTCGACCACAAGAACACTTGGTTGCGGCATTTGATTTTTGGCCATCTGAATTTTAGGTCACTCAATCAGTTGATTACTCAAGATATGTAACTGTTATACTAAGTCTTGAGATGCTTGACAAACTCTGTGAAGGTTGTTTAGTAGGGAATCAATCCATACAGTCTTTTGTTTTGACTATGTTAACGAGGTCTTCTTGCATACTAGAAGTAGTGCATTCAGATGTATGTGACCCGTTTGAGGATCATACCATTGGTGGAAACATGTATTTTGTCTCATTTGTCTATGAGTATAGTAGAAAGCTTTGGATCTATGTGATCAAGCAAAAAGGAGAAGTACTTGAAATCTTTAAGAGATTCAATATACTTGCCGTAAACTAGAGTGAAAAGAATATCAAGGTTCTGCAAACAGCTGAAGGTGGGGAATACACATCCAAGATATTTGAGGAGTTTTGTGTAGAACATGATATTGATCATGATGTAACTGCTCCTTACATGTCTCAACATAATGAAATAGCAATAAAAAGAAACATGACCATATTAGATATGGCGAGATGCATACTGAAGCAGAAGAACTTGTCAAATATTTTGAATGCCCACCAAGAAACTAAAGAACAAGGTGCCTGAAGAAGTGTGGAGTGGCAAACGACCATCGGTGAGTCGTCTGAAGGTGTTTGACTCTATTTGCTACAAGCATATTCCTGATGCTAGGAAAAAGGAAACTTGATGATAAGAGTGAACCTATGATTCTGGTAGGATATCTTAAGACTGAACCATACATGTTATTCAATCTAATGAAGAATGAGATCATGATGAGTCGAGACATTGTGAGTGATGAGACCTCTGTCTGGGATTGGAATTCAGGAGATGAAACTAACAAGTCATTTATGAGCTATAATATTAATGAAGAAAGTAGTGAGTATGAAGAAATTCCAGTTAATGATACTCCAACAACAGTCAAAGTTCAAGATGATAATAGAATCGCAGTCAAAGCAGACAATCGAGAGGGTGTGGCTAGCACAAGGCAAAGACCTCAAAGAACCAGAGTACTCCCAGCAAGGCTTCAAGACTTTGAAGTGGTTAGTGATGATGAAGTCACACTAAATAGAGATTTGGCTCATTTCGCTTTATTTACAGGTGTTAAGCCAATCTACTATAACGAGGCTTTCAAGAAAAACAATGGAAGAAAGTTTTGGTCGAAAAGTTACAAGCGATAAAAAAAACAACACATTCAATAAAAACAATCTTTATTCTTCCCTCTCTCAAGAGTCTAGTTCTGCATGGAAGGAGTAAGCACATTGAGACTAGGTTCATTTCTTAAGGGAGAAGGTAAACAAGGGTGAATTTGAAGTGAGACATTGCTCGAGTGAAACACAATTGACCTACATTTTCACCAAATAACTGAAGATCAACATATTTCTAACTTTGAAGAAGCACTTACGAATAGTTCAGATCAACTATGATTAGTTTGTGTTCGACAACTTGGATTACAAGGGGGTATGTTGTGATATAATCCAAGTTGTAACGCAAACTCTAGTTAGTTAGGGTTAGAGTTCGCTATATTTGTTATTTAATAGTCAAATCACTTAATTGTATATAAATAGATACTTTGTAATTTAATTTCGTAATCCAATTATATTTAAATAATATCAATTTTTATTTTCATTCTCTCTTATTCAAATTTCAAATGTGACAAGTTCTTTTATTCATTGCATGTATCTACTATTTTATTCCCAGTTATAGACTGTTAAGTCAGTTATCACATGTAGTAGAGATATCTAGTCTATGACGCACATAAACCACAAACACAACACAAACATTAACACAACGATATTATTAATAATTTAAAAATAAATAATAATTAAACATAATCACAACTGTTTGTGTTAGTGTCTAATACAAATATTTTTCAGAGATATCGGTACTATAGAACATCCAATTATAAAGATGCGAGTTTGAACTCACGACATCCTACTTATTCACGTGAATCATTTTTATCGTTAGTCTACTATACCAAATTGTGTTATAAATCTTACTCTATTTTCTTAATGGACTTACAAATTCAAGGTACAAGGAAAAATTGAAAATGGAACTACACCAACCGAAGTAAGACCAGCTACAACATTAGGTTTGTAATTAGTAAAACATTTTGATCATTAGTGTAATATTTTTTTGAAACTTATCTAATCATATATATCTTGTCTTTTTTTCTATCTTTCTGAAATCCACAGGTTTGAAAAATGACTCATTGACAAGTTCCACAAATAACAGAGAGAAATTTCTTGATGGACTTTTACCTTCTGGGATTGATGATGAACCATCATGCATAAGCAGGCATCAATCTCATTTATTCCGCAAATCTTCGCCTCATAAACCATCTTCGTATTTGATATCGAAACTCCGAAACTATGAAAAAATTCATAAAAGGTGTGGACCTAATACTAATGCTTATCGCAAAAGCATGGAAGAGATTCTACATTCTAACAACATTAACAATGATTATGAAAGATGCAAATATCTTATTTGGACACGTGCTAATGGTTTAGGGAACCAAATGATTAGCATGGCTGCAACGTTTCTTTATGCTCTCCTCACAGACCGCGTTTTGCTCGTAAGATTCGGGAAAGACAAACAAGGTCTATTTTGCGAGCCGTTTCTGAATTCAACTTGGCTGTTACCTCAGAATTCTCCATTTTGGAGTGAAAATCATGTTGAAACATATGAAAGCTTGATAGAGAAAGAAAAAGCTAACAATAATTCATATTTGGATTTGCCATCAGCACTATTTCTCAATCTACAATACCAACAGAATTATCATGAGAAGTTTTTTCACTGCGATGATAGACAAGATCTTCTCAGTAAGATTCCGCTTATGATTTTGCTATCAGATCAATATTTTGTACCTTCTCTTTTCATGACACCTTTGTTCAACAAGGAACTTGAGAAAATGTTCATTGAAAAAGAAGCGGTTTTTCACCATCTGGCACGCTACCTTTTCCACCCTTCGAATTCGGCGTGGAGACTAATCACAACTTTCTATCAACAACATTTGGCTAAAGCAGATGAGAAAGTGGGCCTTCAGATAAGAGTTTTTCGTCCTAATACCACTCCACAACAAGCAGTTATGAATCTAGTTTTGAACTGCACACTAGAAAATAAGCTTCTTCCGAAAGTACTTGATATGAATAACTCAGTGTCTTCTGGTGGCATAAAGGTTGTTCTGGTGGCGTCTTTATATCCAGAATATGGTGAGAATTTAAAGACATTGTATATGAATAAGTCAACGGTTACCGGGGAAGTAGTTGAAGTTTATCAACCGAGCGGCGAGGAGGAGCAGAAGTTTAACGATAATACGCATAATATGAAGGCTTTGGTTGATATGTATTTACTAAGTCTATCTGATGTGTTGGTGACTACATCTCTGTCTACATTTGGATATGTTGCACAAGGTTTGGGAAATTTGAAGCCATGGCTTCTATACAGGCTAGGAAGCAATGAGAGTCATTATCCAGCTTGTGAAAGAGAGTTCTCAATGGAGCCTTGTTATCATTATCCTCCTAAGAATTATTGTGGTGGAAAGGCTATACATGATTACGCTGCTTCTTTCATTTATATGAGGAAATGTAAGGATTATAGTTCTGGTGTAAAGATGATTAATAACTTTAGATAAATTATATATGTTTCATGGACACTAGTTTTTCTTTTAGTTAGTTTTGTTAGGATTAGAGATGTTGACAACATTACTAATGGAGGAAGTGTCCACTATTAATTAATTTACTACTTTTCACCTACAACTTCCAATTTTTTATATTTAATTATTATTCTATTATTTTAGTTAGGGGTATTCGCGATGCGGTTGAGGCGGTTTTAATGCTAAACATTATTTAAATTGCAAGAAAAAAACATGCGGTTCGATTTGATTATGTTGGTTTTTAAAAATAAAACCGAATTAAATCAAACCAACTTAATGCGGTTTGAGTTGGTTCAGTTGGTTTAGATTTTCACAGAATTTTAATATATATATATATATATATATATATATATATATATATATATATATATATATATATATATATATATATATATATATATATATATATATATATATATATATATATATATATATATATGTAAAATTAAAGTAACATAAAAATATATTAAACATTTGTATATAAATTTATTGTAATTTTAAATTTAATTATATTGATTTAAAATAATAATAAAAATAAATTAATTAAACACTCTACAATAAAATTACAATATTATTATGAATGTCCTTTGTCTTAGTTGATCTCTGTGATTCCCTTTATTTTTTTTACTAATTTGAGAATTATTAACATTATCTCAAAAAAATCCATCATGAGATATTTAGAAGGGAGGTTCATTAAACATTGGATTGTTTTATAAGTTGATGCTAATATAGTTATGAATGTGTGTATATATGATATGAGAATATGAAAATGAAAGTGATTTATTAAATTAAAATATGCTTGTAAAATTGATTATTAATTTCTCCTCTTTTAAATGTCTGATTTTTTTAGATTTTTTGCACATGATTCAGTGAAAAATATTATTTAATCTCAACATTTTCTTTTAAATCTTAGGATGGTTATTCATATAATCACATTCTCATATAACTTATTTATATATATATATATATATATATATATATATATATATATATATATATATATATATATATATATATATATATATATATATATATATATATATATATATATATATATATATATATATATATATATATAAATAAAGTGTGGTTCAACTTTAAAATTTAATAGAGTGATTAAATGAGTAAAATTAGAATTAAATAAAAATGTTAATAATTAATTAGTTTTTTAGAAAGCAATGAATTAAATTAATTATTATTTATTAAAAAGATTTAGTGAGTTAGTTATTTTACGTGGGAAACTTATAGGATTATTATTTAACTCCTTCCTCCGCCATAGGTGTGAATACTGTGGTGGTTTAGGGTTTTGGTAACGGCAATGGGTTCGAGACCAGAGTTGGTAGCGCCGCCGGAGATATTCTACGATGATGACACAGCACGCAAATATACTTCTAATTCCCGTAATATTGAAATTCAGGTCTTACTTCTTCTTCTTCTCAATTCTATTTTTTTTTTTTTTGGTTAAATATATTGATCGATTTCTGATTGTTGGTGCGTTTAACAAAGACTTCAATGTCTGAGCGAGCACTGGAGCTACTCAATTTACCCAAAGACGGTGTTCCTAAGTTACTTTGACATTGGTATTTTACTTTACTTTATGTGTTTTTATTCCTTATCATTCATTATTTATATATATTTTGATTTCTGAATGTGAATGATCCTTTTGTTTAGGCTGTGGCTCGGGACTTAGTGGTGAGACTATCACAGAGAATGGACACCATTGGATAGGCCTTGATATTTCAGCCTCAATGCTTCGTATGTAATGTTTACCCTTTTAATCTATTCCATTCCAAGTAATTTTGTTACATATTCTTATCTATTTGGTTTTTAATAATTCTGAAAATGTAATTGTTATCGCGTAGATATTGCATCAGAAGAGGGTGACCTTTTACTTGGTGACATGGGTCAGGTAAATTTTTAAACTAATTTCCACATTATTATACATTTGTTATAATTTTTGTTTCTGTGTCTGTTGTTGTTCATGTCATCTTAGGCTCTGTATCGATGATTAGTTTGATTAAAGGCTTTGTTTGGATGGATGAAATAGGATGGATAAACAATGGAAAAATTATAAATAGTGTAGTTTAATGAAGGATAAAACGCTACTTCCTCCGTCCCATATTATAAGCAAATTTCACATTTTTAGATTCATTAAATAATTGATGTATCTTGTCTATATATAGACCAAATACATCAATTATTTAATGAATCTAAAAAGGTGAAATCTGCTTATAATATGGGACAGAGGGAGTACACTATTATTAAGTATTATCTAGTACTATCTCCCTATGTTAAAGATAATACATGCTCTGCATCTTTCATACTTCTCTACCTCACACTTCATCCTTGGTTTCAGGGTTTAGGGCTTCGATTTGGAGTGTTTGATGGGGCCATCGGCATATCTACCATTCAGGTGTGCTTTTGATAAATGAAAAATTCCAATTAAAATAGTCATGCACGGTGTCACCATGTAAAGAAGAATATAATCAATTAGGAATGCTACTCTATTATGAAAACCATACAATGGTAATAAATAAAACTTAGTGTTAAACTTTATTTTTGACAGTTCTACCAAGTTTGCCTATTTTATGTATCTGATTTTCATTACTGATTTTTTGACTTATGTATGATAATGCAGTGGTTATGTAATGCTGATAAATCCTCTCAAAACCCTCATCTAAGATTGAAGTATGTTCCTTTCCTTATCTATTATATCACTTTTCATTTTTATGAAAACATGCAGAGTTTTCCACATTTCTTTGCAACTTACCATCTATGTTAACATTTGATTATAATGGAAATGCTCACTTTTACCCTGTCACTCCAAATAATATAAGTTCTATTTTTTTGTAGGGCCTTTTTTACATCTTTATATAGATGCTTAGCAAATGGTGCTAGAGCAGTATTTCAAGTGTATCCTGAAAACAATGATCAACGTGCATTGATTACGACTGCTGCAATGAAAGCTGGATTTAGAGGGGCGATATTGGAGGATTATCCAGAATGGTATGAATAAGTCTTACAATACTATTGGAGGATTCACACTTCTTTTTTGCATTTGTCTGGTACTTTTTAGATAGTTATTGGTTAATCTATGCTGTCAATAGCGCGACATTGGGCGCAAAATGGCTAGCCTCTGCCAGACATGGCAAACTTAACCCTAAACCCTTAGGCCTTGGCGCAAAATGGCTAGCCTCCACCACACATCGCAAATGGCGCAAAATGGAGTTGCAACCTTGTTAGCAGCTGAGAAGAATGTTGCACTGCTACAGGGCACCATCCACTTTCTCCTCTGTTGTGCCAGTCGCTGCCGTTGTTAGAGGCCTTGCGATAGTCACCTGCCATCATTCCAACCTCTGGCTTAGTCTCAGACCCACTCTTAGCTATAGCTTTTTCTGGCCAACTAGAGTTTTCTGGCAAGGCTTCTCTTTAGCTCTAGGGTTTTCTTGCTGTTGGGTTTTAGGTTTTGTTTAGAAGCTATGGTTTTTGATGTTGCCTATTTATTTGTTGACTATCCGGGACTAACAATATAGTAAATCATTATTATCTTGTATTTTGTTATACTTTGTTTTTCTTTCACTAACTGTGGAACACAATTATCTTATGACAGTGCTAAGAGGAGAAAAGAGTTTCTTTATCTCACTTGTGGCTGCAATGAACCGTTGCCCAAAGGTAAAACTGAAGATGACGACGACAGTGAAAGTGAAGGAAATAACACAGTAAGTCCCGCCACACATGTGATATTCTTCTATTCATGTCTTATAGTTAATTTGTTATTTTAAAAAAAATTCTTTATTTTCAAAAATAATTTTCTCATTTTCATATAAAATAAAACTATTTCAAATAACTTTGTATGGAATTCATAATGAAAAGATGAATTGGATTTAGTTTTGAATATAAAATTAAAATTAGTTATTAAAATAATTGTAATAGAAAAAAATATTATATTGATATTTTAAAATGATTATTATTTTAAAAATGAAAGTTAGCCTATATCGGATATTTCAAACAAAATAAAATCTTGAGTAAAAGAAAATTACTCATAAAATCTTGAGCCAAAAAGAGATTACTTATAAAATCTCGATTATCTTATTTCTATTACATAAACTTTCTTATTTCAAGTTTAAAAAATTAAATTAATCAATTTCTAAAATAATTATTATATTAAAATTATTAGCATTTTAAAATGATTATTATATTAGAATAGAAAAATTACATAAATATGATATTTCAAACAAAATAGGATACTCATAAAATCTTGAGTCAAGAAAAGTTTACTCGTTAAATCTTGAGTCAAAAACAGATTACGCATAAAATCTCAATTATCTTATTTCAATTAAATTAATCAATTTCTAATTATAATGACGCCGGCGAAGACCGCGCAAATCTGAACTAACTAACAAGCCAGCAAAAGAGTAAATATCCCATGCAACCGCACTCACCCTAACCTCATTTCACTACAACCGTTCGATCAAATCGACCCCACATCAATTTTTTTATTTTATAACAAAAGATACATTACAATAAATCTCGAGCCCAATGAAAATCAATGAACCCAAAGACGTGGAAAATTCTTCTTTTTTAAAGAGAAAAAAAAAACAGAGTAACTTATTAAAACTGAGAAGAAGAAAGAAGAGATCATAAAACTGAGTCAATTCGGTTTTGAATTCCAACTGCTCCAACAAAATTTTATTCTTTTCTCTTTCTTTCACCAAATCCCACAATTTCATTAAACCTTTTTTCTTTTTTAATGTTCCCTTCTTCAATGTACATCCATGTCCTGTTTTACGACAACCTCATTATTTCAGAAACCGTGTTTTTCTTCAATTAATTGATTCAATTCGTTGAATTGAACTCAATTCCCATCTGGGTTTTTGAAAAAGTTTCGAAATTTGAAGGAAAAAAATCATGGGGGTTAAAAACGATAGGGTGAAATTCAGTGTCGGAGGCAGAGTATTTGAAACGACTTCAACAACACTTGCAAATGCTGGGAGAAATTCCATGTTGGGTGCAATGTTAGATGAGAATTGGAATCTGTTAGACAATGGAAGTGAGAGATTCATCGATCGTAACGCAGATTGCTTCTCTGTTATCTTGGATCTGTTACGAACAGGTGAACTTTACATCCCAAATAACATTCCTGAGAAGCTTTTATACAGAGAGGCTCTGTTTTATGGTGTTCTAGACCATGTTCGTTCTGCGAAATGGGGTCAATTTGATGGGAACAGGTTAAGGTTGTCTAGGTCTGTTCAAGGACAAGCACCGGGTGTTGGAACAGCAATTCGAGCTGGTCCAGATGGGGGCTGTTGTGTTGCTCATGGTTGCATGGTTCATGTTTATGATTGGATGTTAGATCAACACAATTCTGTTAACCTTGATTACCAAAGAGTCAACGATGTTGGTTGGGTTGACCCTAACAACATAGTTATAGGTGTGAGTGAAAGACTTGGTCGTGGTGATGGTGGAATGGGTTTGTTTAGTTCACATAATGGTGAACTTAGGTACAAGTTTCATGTTAGTCATGAAAATCATGTTAAAAGTTACACTTCTGGTGCTTTGAGTTTTAGTTCTGATTACAAGATTTTTTCTAGTTGTAAAGGTAGAAGTAATGAATATGGTGTTGGTGTTTGGGATCAAGTTACTGGTAAACAAGTTGATTTTTTTTATGAGCCTTTAGGTTGGTCGCATGGCGATGCTGATAAACTTCAATGGTTAGAAGGCAGTAACTGTTTGTTAGTTGCTACAATGTTTCCTAGAAAAGATAACTGATACATTAGTCTTTTGGATTTCAGAGCGAAGAAAATGGTTTGGTGTTGGTCTGATATAGGTGCGACATTGGCTGTGGATGAGAAAAGGGTGCGAGATGCTATAGCAATGGAGGGTAATAGATCAATTTGTGTGGTGAATGAGTTTGAGGAATTAGGTTTCATGGATTTGAGAAGCTCTGCTGCTGCAAGTATGAGATGGAGTTCGAGAAGTAGGTTGATGAAAGGGAAGATGCCTGAAGAACCGTGTTACCCTAAATTGGCATTGCATGGTGGCAACTTTTCTCTTCCATGAATGATTGTATTTCAGTGTTTTGTGGACCTAAATGGGTTTTAACGTCGAGACTTCGACGAAGCTATGGTGGGTCAATCTGTGATTTTTCAATTGGTGGTGATAGGCTTTTTGCACTTCATAGTGAAGAGAATGTTTTTGATATTTGGGAGACTCCAATACCACCAATTCTATGATTTAATTTTGTTTTTTTTCTTAGTTTAAGGTTAATTTTTTCCTTAGTTTTTTCATAACCAGATTGCTTATGCAATTTTATAGATAGTGTTGAATCTAAAACATTGTATGTATATATACACAACAGAGGATATTATAAATGTGGATTGCTTATTTTTCTATACTCTAGTGAATCAAATTTCATACATCACTTTATATCTCTTGAAGATTCTAAATTCTCACTAGCATTAAGCTATTCCCTCTTTTACTTTTGAGATTGTCATATCCAACTTTGTAGTTGTTTCTTTTAACCTTTTTCTTTTACAAGCATGGAGTAAAATGAGGTGAAGTTCTTTTGATTGCATTAGAATGGTGAAGGGGTGAGTTACATCTGCAGCTTTTAGGTCACTTTTACTTTCCCTATTTAATTAATATTGCATAAAATATACTTTGAATTCTTTAGGTTGCATTGCACCAAATCCATCAAATGTTGTATAAATGAAATGTCTATAGTTATTATGATGTTAACATGTGGTAATAAACCAAACCACTATCTTTAATGCAGAAGTTCTAAATATTAATTTAATCAAACTTAGATATTATGCAGTGGAACAGAAGATAGTAACAATATCCATGTGGCTCTCTGCATTGTTTAGGATATTGCTTCACTTTGAAGTTTGCAAACATTTATGGTTGAATATGAGCTTTTCTTAGACCAAAAAGATAACAAATACTTAAATGTTAGTATGTCAATATTGTTTAAAAACAAAGGATAAAAAATGTCAGAACTCATTCATGCATTAAGTTCAAACCACACACTCCACGTGATATTTTATCTGTTAGAAATTGTTTAAGCATAATATAATAACACTTTTCCAACGTGATCGAGATTACTATAACGTCTACATTGACCTAATGATAGTGTGTTTGTTTCCTTGTTTAATATAGTGTTCCAGTAGAAGCTACCTTTTGTAGCTTCGTATTATTCGTGCATTTTTCTCTCCACCGTGAAAGCAAACACACACTGAATGTCTCTCGGGGCTTGCCCTTGTTAAAACCTGAACTTTAAGAGAGCTTCGAACAATTTCCTCTTGTTATATGTGATATAAAAATGGAACCGTACAAAACAAAATTGATCACTGAAGAGAAAATGAATGGTATACCTCCTAATTTGCTACATAAAAATTTTATGAGAATAAGTGAAATCGGACCTAGTTAAGCATGATCAGGCATTACTTTCTTCAAAAACTTAATTGAACCAGATTCTTCAGGGGCAACTTCATCAAAGGAAACATAATTTTGCTCCTTATCATACACATGACACACCGTCAGGATTGTCTTCATCAATCGCCAATTCCAACTAGCCTCATTCAGATACTGTTTTTCCAACACAGGAAATTAAGATATCAATAGTTAGCGTAAGTGTTTTTTAGTTCGGACAATAATGTTTTAGAGTTCAATGCTGACCCTCATTTCTTTCATGAAGAAAAGCATAAAAAGATATTGGCATTGTTGATCTTACCTTTCCCCAATTTTCTTGGAGAGATTTATGGGCTGCTCGTAAATTATAGCTCGGTATTTTCGGGGATATATGGTGTGGAATATGGACATTAATATCATGGCATAAGATCTCGATCCTGTTTAAAAAAGAAGTCAGAATATACCGATTAGTCAGGGTGCCATCAAGTTAATTCTGCAAACCTGCACTTTAAAGACATCAATGTGCAATGAAAGAAAAAACATTCAATGAGCCATGAAAGAAAAACATTCAACAGCAGCTGATCTATTATGAAGCATATACTACATTCACGCATCCAGTTATTGGCAAGAAAAACATACATTAGAATACAAAGAGCAGAAAAAATACATTACCATTGAGGGTAAGCACAATGAACCGTTCCATTAAGCTGTGCTTGTGCGGCATTCCACTCTTCTGAATATTTGAACGGTATGTGTGGTGCAGTATGATGTACCATGGTGAAAGTACTCATCTATGATTGAGAGCAAAAGAATACCTCTTAAACTTGTACTATAAATTTCAACTGTTATTAAATTATTAAATTATGCGACAACTCGACAAGTGAAATTACCCAGAAGTGATAGCCCAACCATGGCATCAACCAGAATTTTATCCATCCCATGATTCCAGTCTTGTAAATAATTAATGGCCATCCAATTGCTATGAAGCCAAAAACACAAGCTAAACTTATCTTCACTCTCTTTATTTCATTGGGTCTGAACTTCGTCAAATCGAAATGACGACCAACCTGAAAGAAATTAGGACGCGTCATGATTCTGTATAAACTAAAATACTAAATGTCAAAATAATTGAAAGCAGGGCTGATTAGGAAGTATTTAATGCATTTCAAGGCATATAGTTGATTGTACCAGTGAGCTATAGACATCCAGCATCGAAGTGGACCGTATCCATTTATTATTGCTTTCCTCAAAAGTGGATTTGACTCAATCTCGTCTTTCCAAACAGGCTGCCAAGCAGTATCTTCTTTCAACCTGTATCATTAAAGATGATTTACAGTAATGAAACAGAAAAGCTACAGCTTCAGTCCATACATGGATGTTAACATTACACATCTTATACAGTGCTTTGATTTATGCATACTGCATGCAGCCTGAATTTTACACTTTCAATTGGTTTTTCAAGGCTAAAAAAAACACAAGTTTCACACTTCATGCATTGAGTATAAGTATTAGTAAGTCCATCTACGACAGAAATTTAATGCTACAAATGATTTACAAGATGCACCTAAAAAACAAAAAATAGAAGAGAACACCACTTACATGTTTGTTTTTGCATGATGCTTGTCGTGTTTAAATCGCCATGGCTCATATGGATAAATTAGTGGTAAAAAGGCCAGAGTTCCAACAATGTCTTCTACCAATTTGTTTGTTGAAAATGATTTGTGAGCGCAATCATGTCCTATAACAAAGAACTGCGTGGCAAAATAGAAAGAGGATTACAAAACTTACAACCAAAAAAGAAGAAGCTTGCCAAGATCTTCAAGATATGAGTTAAAATGATTTGAGAAATCAGTAACAAATAATCATAAGTCAAATATGTATTGAACTAACCCCAGTTACAGCAGTCCCTGTCCAAGCCAAAGCCAGAGGAAGTAGATACCAGGGTGCTTTAGAAATCATAAAAAGCCCCAACGCATACGAAGTGGCCGATATCAAAACAGTTTTCCATGCTTTCACATCATCAATCTCAAAAACCTTCAAAATGTAAAGTGATTATTAAAATATAAATAAATATTGAAACTATCAATATCGTGGAATGGTTACTGTTAAGAGTCTCACATTGAATGAGATATAGTCCGACTTTGTGTTTACAAGTAGTGGATAGCTCGCCTTACAAGCGAGTTTTTGTAAGAGTTGAGTTAGGCCCAACCCAAATTTCTAAGAGTTAAAAAAGATAAAACACATCCTATTTTTCCGCCCAAAGTATAGGGTGTGAGAAAAAAACAAGAATGGCGTAGAGATAGATGAATCATATATAGTTATCGAGACTTTCTCTTAGTCATAAAGTGAAGCAAATGTTACTCTTGTCATTGATATTTTATTATAAACTATAAACATGTACCGAATCGTGCTACAAGGAACAACTCCTTCATATTCTTACGCAAGAAGAAAACACCCTAATGAATTTATTTAAGTGAACAAATAAAGGAATCTAAAATTTCATGACGTAGATTTGAATAAAAGCACCTTCTTAGGAAGAAAAGTGATGACATCCTTCAATGTAACCGTATCCGGAAGCGGCTCTCCAATTTGGTTAAAACCATAGCGTCTGCTAGTTCTTTTCTGTACTCGGCACTTTCCACCGGAGCTGGTTGGAGCGGAATTGCCACAGCTCGTATAACTCCAACTTTACTCCTACGATACACAAACCCTGTATGGATTAACCCGTCACCCTTTAGGTTGAAGGAGCCTGCGAAATGATTCATACAGAACTCATTAAGTATAAAGTTTAGGTATTGCCCGTTTGTCTTGTATTTGGTGTTTATTAACAAAGATACTGTATGAAAAATTAGCACTAAGAATGGTATCAATGAGTAAAAGACAGAGAAATTTGAAACAGAATGCTAGTGATTGATTAGTTGATTAATTAAGATGCATGGAATACCAGCAATGTTTCTTCTGGAATTCAAAAGTGGCGTCCGGTGGGAAGAAGAACACTGCAAAAAAAGAAGGTGAATTTGAATTGAAGAGTATATTGAAAGGGAAAATAGTGAAAACCTTTAATTGGAGTAATGAATTTGCAGAGGTGCAAGCCATTTTGAGAGGAATTGAGGTTTCTCTGTAGAAAAGATAAACTTTTTTGGTTTTTATATTTGACAAATGGGATTGAGAAGAAAGGAAGTTAGTGAGAGGGTTCAATGGGATTGAGAAGAGAGGAAGTTAGCGTGAGAGTTGCAAAATTTTAATTCATACCCCTACAATTATACCCATACCTCTGCACTACAATTTTTTGGACCAAAATATCTTCGTATAAAAAATTATAATTTTTTTGTTTGTTTACCGGAAGACTTTTTGGAAGTCTTCCGGTTCACATTTTTTATGGCTTGTTTACCGGAAGACTAAAAAAAGTCTTCCGGTTCACGATTTTTTTAGTTTGTTTACTGCAGATTTTTTGGAAGTCGTTCGGTTTCATATTTTTTTTTAATTTTTAATTTTTTTAATATTCAAATTATAAATATATTTATTTTATTTACTCTATTTTAGTTAATTAATATATTTATTCTATTTACTCTATTTATTCTATTTATTTATTTAATAATAATTATTTCACTAATTTAATTTTTTATTAATTTACTATATTTATTTACTTAATAATAATTATTCCACTGGTATTGTTTTTTTTAATCAATAAAAATAAAAGTCGTTAACTAATTTATATATTGATGGTGTTCTTTAAAGAAAGAAAATTAACAATTTAATAATATGTTTATATGAAAAATAAAAATAAATATCATATTTAAATTATAATCCTATTATTTCTTCTATCAAAACTTTTCACCAAAAAATTATAATATATAACATTTATAATTATTTAAACAATATTTTATGGGGTAAAATATTAACTTTTAAAAATATATTTTATGGGGTAAAATATACTTTTAAAAATTTTTACCATAAAATATTAACTTTTAAAATTTGTAGGGGTAAAATATTAACTTTTAAAATATTAAAAACTAATTAAATCATAAATATTTCCTTCCGAGTAATTGTGGTGTCTCAAAATCCTTAGACATATCTAGAATCACAAAGTCGACTGAAAATGATAGAACATCTACTTTTGCCGAGACATCTTCAAGAATTCCATATGGGCATGTGATTGATCTATCTGCCAGTGTTAGAATCATTTGAGTAGGTTTCTACTCACCATATTTTAACTTCCTCATCATGGACAATGACATCAGATCATATGTTAATTTTCTTTCTTTAAAGAACACAATCAATATATAAATTAGTTAACAACTTTTATTTTTATTAATTAAAAAAAAACAATACCAAATTAGTGGAGTAATTATTATTAAATAAATAAATATAGTAAATTAATAAAAAATCAAATTAATGAAATAATTATTATTAAATAAATAAATAGAATAAATAGAATAAATATATTAATTAACTAAAATTGAGTAAATAGAATAAATATATTTGTAATTTGAATATTAAAAAAAAATTTTAAAAAAAAAAAAAAACATGAATCGGACGACATCCAAAAAGTCTTCCAGTAAACAAGTCAAAAAAGACTTCCAAAAAGTCTTCCGGTAAACAAACCAAAAAAATGTGAATGGGAAGTCTTTCGGTAAACAAACTAAAAAATTATAATTTTTTATATGAGGGTATTTTGGTCCAAAAAATTTTAGTGTAGGGGTATGGGTATAATTGTAGAGGTATGGAGTAAAATTTCCCAGAGTGATTGGGTGTGGACCCCACCAAATGTGGATGCAGATGGATAGCCCATTCCAGCCGCATGTCACGAGATGCATCAATGGTTAGGGGGGCATTTTAAGACACTAATGGTCAAATTTGTCTACCAAAAGCCAATCCTCGTCATCATTTAAGAGACTAATTAATTGCTATAACTATGCAATTAATCAAAAACTCGGAGTATTGTTTCACTTTCGAATTCTTTGTTAAATTTTTTAAATCAAAATATAATTAATTCACATTTTTAGTCCTATTAAAAAAATTAATTTAATTATAACTTTGATCTTTATTTTCAATTAAAGTAGAAAGAATTAGAGAAATTTTTTTTTGAAGATTAACGTAATCTCCATCATTTGACAACTATGAAAAATTATAATTGAGCCTCTTACTTTTAATTCAATTAAAAATGAAAGAACCGAATTTTTTTTTTGGAGATTTTCATAATCGCCCTCATTTGACAACTATGAAAAATGACAATTGAACCTCCTAAAAAAGGACAAAGGTTACAAGGTCTTGGAATGCATTCATAGTAAAAATTTATGAGAAAAAAGTTATGAAGATTAATGTAATTTTTTATGTGGGATGGAGAAACACCTTATAGAAAATCTAAACTGTCCTTCAGATTTTTAAGATGTATCTCCAGACATATATTATTTTAAATTAAAATGTTAATTGATCCTAAGATATATTTTTTGGAATATTTAAAAACACTCACCATGCATCCCACTCTGAAAGGCATTTTACACGTTAATTATTTCGGAGATGCATATTCGTTTAATGTTTACGGAGATGGATCTTCGTACCCTATCAGTATAATATATATTATGTTTGTTTTATGGTTTACGCAGATGAAAGTGATGATTTATAAACGTTAAGAACCATGTTATGTGACGAGATTTAAATCATACAATCGATATGCAAAAATAACATATATAAATTCAGATGGTCCAAAAATGACATATATAAATAAAGTCAAAATACACGATAAAGTAGAATGAAGTGAAAATAAAATACAATCTATAACGAATCTAAAGTACAACTAATATATACTACTGCACTACTGTGTATGTCGGACTACAGCTACTCTAACTCATTGGCTTCCACTACCCCCCATCTTTTAGCGCTGTCTCCGATACAACAATGTCTCTCGTGCATCTGTCACAATGGCGTCTAGGATCTGCCT